ATTAAATAGTAAAACGGCGTTCCATAGTGTTTCGTCCACATATATGTTATGTTATGTTAGGATATATCCTCTTACTATAAATGTAATTATTAGCCCTGAGTACAAAAAACTTTAGCTCCGCCACTGGTTGCAGTGGATATCTGACACATGCCTCGGTGGCGCAGCAGGCAGCGCGTAAGTCTCATAATCTTAAGGTCGTGAGTTCGATCCTCACCCGGGGCATTACTTTTTTAAAAGTTTTCAAAAAATGTATCCACAGTTTGCTCATCTTATTTTTGAATTAGCGTGTTATAATATCAATATCAATAGATTTTTCTAAGTTTTTGTCTACGTCCATATATTTTTATATACTAATAAAGAATGGGGCCTAATGAAGTTTGATACGTAGGTATTTCGGAGGTGAATAAAAATAAATTAAACGTGTATTTTTATTTATAAGTTATAAAGTATTACAAAAAAGACATTTTAAAAAAATACAAAATAATATTTAAAACTTTATTGTTATTATAATATGTAATAGCATATTGTGCGACCAGTGGGAGATTCCTCGGGCGTGCATTTTGCCTCACGAGCGTAGCGGTAAAACCGCGTCGTTTTTATACAAGTTTATTAAAAATAGGAAATTCTAAATTTATAAATAATTATTAACCACAAACGTGTTTACTATTTCTTTGGCTTTCTTTAGGAGGTTAATAACCACAAAACATTGTAAGTTGCTATTCATATTTATGTATAAATGTTTTGCAATAAGGAGCTATTTTCATTTATAATTCATGTGATAAAATCAATAAATTAAGTTTAATGAAATTCAGTATCGAACCGATAATCGATTGCATTTGAGACTTGCTCTTTGTTGTAATCATAAACATGCAAAAATATTTTCTACAGGGTGTTTTAAAACTACTTACTGAGATATTATACTTCACGGTGGATAGGTTTTTAAATAGCAAATTAATGAACTTAAACTTTTGAATTATAAAACAGCAACACTCTCATCTGCATATAAATTCTAACCGACCTTCAGGAATCACATGCATCTATAATGTCGTAAACAGAGGTTTTTGCTTATTTAAAATGATTAAAGCGCCATCCGTTGCATAAAATTTAAAGCAAAAACAGATTCACGGAGGATAGAATCAATTTTCGTAACACCTACATAAATGGTTATAAAAATTATATCTTTTAATTTTTAATAATATTTTATATTTGATTCGATTGCTTTAGATGTGTTTAATTTACTTAGTGAACTGATATTTTTAGTATGCATTTTCTACCTCAGATATTTGAAAACACATAGGTTAACCTAGAAAGAGTAACAGTCACGGAGGATAGGTTTTAGACTTTTAAATCACTGTAAAAAATAATTAATTGCGGTTTAAAATCTGGAACCTGAGCTGTAATATCTACTTAATTATGAAAGATCAAAACACAATAAAAGTGTACGTCTAATAAACTATCGTTACGTTATACACATTTATTTGTTTATTAGCAAAGAGCAATTGAACATATCTGCTAAATGTTTTATCTTAAAGTTATAAAACGGGATGTATTACTGTTAGATAAATTTTTAAGTTTAACACGGTTTAAATTTTATTATGTTTTTAAATGTAACGGTTGTTAACAGGTGTCCGTATATTCACCTAATTATATTTTTAACTGGCAATCATACAAACTAAACTGTTTACAGCATAACTTTATATACAGAGTGTCTGTTTAAAAACGAGCAATGCTCTATAGATCTAAGTTTAATTTTTGAAAAATACGCAAAATAATTTTTATTTCAATTATATATATATACGAGGTGTGTTCAGAAAATATCGGGAATTTTAGCTTTTTGAAACAAATATTTATTTAGTCGTCTACATTAATGTTGTCGCCTTCAAAATTGTCCCCATTGGATATTATGCTCTTCTTCCAATACTCGAAACACTTCTAAAACTCGATCTTTGGGATAGCCTAGTTTTTTCAGCGATGCGCTTTTAATGTCATCTACGCTTGCAAAACGACAGCCCTTTAAGGTTCTCTTTATTTTTGGGAATAGGAAAAAGTCAGACAGAATCATGTCTGGCGAATATGGAGGCTGGGGAATCATTACAGTATTGTTTTTGGCCAAAAATTTTTCTCAAAATTTAACAATTTTAGAACAGATTTTGCTGCCACGCGTTTCATACCCAAAACATTCGAAAAAATTTTATGGGATAAGCCAATAGATATACCAACATCATCAGCGACTTCTCTGATGGTTTATAACCATTTCTTCCACTTTTTCCATGTTTTTATCGGTTGTTAATGTGCTTGTGCGTTCGGGGCGTTCGTCATCTTCAACGTCTTCACGGCCATCTTGGAAACTCTTATACCACTTGTAAACTCTTGTTTTACTTATAGCAGACTCACTATAGGCCTTTTTTAACATTTCAGAGAATTTATTTAATTTTTTAAGCAAAATTGGATACAAATTCTTTGATCCATTTCTTTTAACGAACGAAAAATCGCCTAGCTCATATATAATGAAAACAGCTAAAGTTTTTATCATACTTCGGGGGCATGTTACCAACATAATAAAGAAAATTTAACAATTCCCGTTATTTTCTGAACACACCTCGTATATATATATATTGACAAAAACATTGTGTTATCAACTGTGTTATCGGTAAAATAATACAAAAAAATTGGCCACCTTATGTATACCTATTTAATATCAATTACTAAAAAATTTTGATGGCATATCGAGTTATCAAATACTGAAATTTCAGACAGCAAAGTTAAATATGTTATCTCACACTGAGGGAAAAATCTAATACCTGTTATGAAAAATATAATACCCCTTATAAGATTTCTCTATTAGTATTATGACAGCCAACTATTTCATAGATAGTATGAACTCAGTTTTGTTATAACATCTTGTAACAGTTAGTCTATAGACATATATTTTATAAAATATAATACCTAGTATACTATTATCTTTTATAAAATCGATATGCTGCCACCATAAAATGATGTTTTAGTGGATATAATCAAAATCTTAAATACTATAAACCCGCTTTATATAGAGTATTAAAAGTTTTTAGCCAGTATAACTTTATATTCTTATTAATTTTATGTGGTGGCTAATACTTTTTACAAACTCTGTTTATTCTCATTGTTAGCAATTTAGTTACTTTAATAAAATATGTCTTATAGACGAAATTATGCATTTTTCATAAGAATTATTATACTTACTTGCTGACAGGATAAGGGTCGTTATATAAAAAGTTCAACTTTTATAAATTTTATATTTTTATTATAAAAAACAGGTACAAGAAATAAATAAAACATAAATAAACATAATTAGGTACATAATAGTACAGAAGTAAATCAAAATTTTGCATGTCGAAACTTACAAAGAATGCCAAGGGAGAAAATAAAACAAACGTAAAAATATTGTCACTTGCAAAAACCCCACAGCGCGTCACTGCATTTTTTTTAAATTATTATTTGGAAAATGAATTCTTTTAATTTTTAGTTAAATCGTTTGTGTTTGTTTTTGGGGCTATTTTTTAATTAATTGTTATCATGATTTTTTTATTAAAATCCCTTGATTTAAATAGTTAATTTTAATCAACTAATTAAATTAAAATCTCAACCTTATAAATTTCTGTTAAAACAAAGCTTTAAGTACTAAACTATTAAAGTATTATCCAATAAATGCTAAAACGGCGTGTCATAAAATACATTATTGGGGAATATAGGTATTAGATATATGTTGGTGGTCCCAAAAAATGTGTAAAGAACAAAAAATTATGTAGGTAGTATATTTTTAATATTATATTAACAATGTTATTATATATTAATATAAATAAATAAAATATAGTTTAATTTAGAATATGGTTTATTTTCAAGAAACACCCGCTTTCAGGAAAGTTTTTGCTTAAATTGACTTGGTTGGATTTTTATCAATGTTTAGAGTTTTGTTTACTTACATTTAAGACTTTTTTTTACGATTTTTTCAGAAAAATGTGTTTAGCTAGCTTTATATATCTCCACTGTGTTACCAATTTGAAATCCAAAATTTAATTCAATAAAAATAATTTGAAATAAAATGTACAATTCACAAACTTTTGACTCCAATTTTTTATTTTATTTTTTATTAAAAATTGTATGCTTTTTTTTTAAATATGTATGTTCGTAAAGTTACTTTTTAAAAGAAACCACTCCGATTCTTTGTTAAAAAAACAATAACATTCATATTTTCTTTTAGTCACTTTATTAGTGAATTAAACTCTAATTTATAAACACGTGATAGTGTATAAAAATCATTTTAAGTATTTAAAAAAAAAAAACTAAAAAAAGTAACGAAATAGACATTGGTATCACAACGGACAGGGGTACACAAAGGACTTAATCAGATAACGTAAAAAGAAACTATATAATTTTAGAGCAATGCATAAACAAAATCCCTTGTAGTGGGACTCACTTTCAGAATAACAACTTAGACTTCTAAATTGTAGACACCCTTTTTCTTTGACTATAAGCTGGTGAAGGTCCCTTTTAGTACTTTTATATTGCGTGGAATTTTTCCTGAGTTGTAATTACAAATAATTTTAAATTGGTTAATCATAAACTACTTTTAATAAAAGCGACGGTAAATATCCACTTTGTTGTCGAAAAATTCTATTGCGTTACCCTAAATTCCATTGCGTTACCATAAGGTAACATAGTGGACTCGGTAACGCAGTGGACAAAGTTTTGTAAAACCATATTTAAAAAATAATAAGACATTATAGTAATTAATTACTCTCAATGTGTGTTTCACAAGTTTCAAAATTAAAAAAAAATCGTTTTAAAACACCCTGTAGTATATCTCACTGAGTGGTTGCATAATCGAAGCGCACGAGTTTTATTTCTGGCAATTCTGGCACTCTGTACTGATAATTGGCAATGATGCAAAAATTGTGGCCACCGAAAGTTGGTTGTTTTGTTTGTTTTTGCGGACCTTAAGAAATAGATCTCTCTTGTTGCAGAAGAACCAGACGGCGATTTGGGCGAGTTGGCTTGTCCAGCTAAGAGAAGAAAACAGGACACGATCACGTTGCTGTCAGTGGTGAGTTTTGACGGGGAAGAGTCCTTGAGCAGGTCCAGTAGCTTGCTACAGTTCGAAACCTTGGAACAGCAGTGTCTTGAGCCGGCTACCAGCACCCCCAGCATCTTCAGTTTTGACCCATTCGAGTCTAGAAAGAGCAACGTCAGTCCTGATAGTTTGGACACGGACTGGGAGAAGGAAAACGATTACTACAAAAGCCTTAACATCGATGTTCCTCGAAGGAAGGATAAAAACTCCAGTAGGGACAGTTTATTATACAACAACAGCGAGGGTAGCGATACCAGCGAAGGCACATTGGAACCATCGAGGTCCTTTGACAACCTCAAGACATGGAAATCCTTCGACAGCTTGCCCATTGGTAACACCAACAAGGCCTTGATTAAGGAGAAATTATCCACGGAAAACTTGAGTGAAGATAGCGGATACAGCGACCATTTGATCAACAACAAGTCTAGCAGTGGCGGTAACTTAGCGAAGCAGTTGGAAAGTGCTATGAAACCCATTGACAGTTCGGTGAACAGTCATTTCAGGAAGAAGAGGAGTTGTGATGGTTTTGGTGCTTACGATGGAGAGGTGTTTCATCACATTAGCGGTAAGAATCATTTTTTTTTATTATTCACTTTGTTCCACCAATAATCGGAAATTCGTCAGCCTTTGTTTATTAATCCTTTTTATCACTTTATTGACTCTAACTTATTCATGATTCTTGTTGGAAAAAGGTAAAACCTGGAATGTATTTTTTATTTTCCCTTTAAATGCGTAGATGAGCAAAATATAAAGTTAAATATAGTATAATAATCTTCGCTTTGAAAAAAATTTATATAAAAGAAATTAAAATTTTTTGTGAACACACGTGAATGGGTATTTTGTTAAAGCCACTGGACGTTAATACTTGTAGTGGCTTAATATTAATTATAATGTATATATTGTCCAGGACCACATGGATGCTATTTTCAAAGACAGCAAATAATTTTTATTTTTTGTATTTTTTAAAATTTCAAAATCTGCTTAGATTAAAATAACTTGTGATTTAATATTTGTAAAACCAAAACCGTTACTTTTTTACTCCAAAAATGTTCATAAGGCGATGTACTATGCTCCACACCTCAAAGTCCCACCACGTGACCACGTACGGAACGCAGTCTTTTGAAAATTTGGCATTTAAGGCTTTTCAGGTTATGTATCTGTCAAAGTATAGTCAACGAAAAAAATAATATTATGTTTAGGCGTTAAAAATGTATAAATCTTTATAACATTACAATAACAATGGATGGTTTAAGAATTTAAGAATATAAATACTGCATTTAATGAAATTCTAAAGTGTATGGTGCCAAATAAGTAATATTTTTGTGCATTTGGTCCAAATATCTGGTTTTCTCCATAAAATAATTTGAACTAAACAGCATTTATTTAAAAAAATCTAGCTTCTCTATTATGGAATAAGAATATCTGTATTAAAGGTAGGTTAATATATTATATCAAAAATATAATCTAATTTTGTAATTTTAAGGTTAGAAACATTTATTTTGACCAAAATAAATAAGTATTTTGGATTATTTAAAAGACTGTATAATATGGTATTTAAAAATGTGGTAGTTTTTCTTATCCAGCTTAAAGTGTACCTACATAAAGTTTTGTCAATACAAATAGTTAAAAAACTTCGACTGAACTTGATCTACATCGAAAAATCATTATAACTTTAAAAATTTTAATAAATCACATGTCATGGGAGTATTAAATATTTTCACATTGCAAGATTGTTTGTTTTCTTATAATCTAACTTAAAGTAAGTATGCCAAGAGGTATGCACAAGTTTTGTCATTAGAAGTATAAAAGCTTCAATTTAATTTAAACTATGTTCAACAACTATTTAGTATAAACATATTAGCACACTCTTTCAAATAATCCACTTATTTATTTTGGTCAAAATAGATTTTTCTAACCTTAAAATACAAAATTAGATGATATTTTTTGTTCTAATACATTAACCTACCTTTGATACAGATATTATTATTTCATAATAGAGAAGTTAGATTTTTTTAAATAAATGCTGTTTAGTTAAAACTATTTTATGGAGAAATGTAGACCCAATGCACAAAAATATAACTTATATTGCACCTTACACTTTGGAATTTCATTAAATGCAGTATTTATATTCCTAAATTCTTAAACCAACCATTGTTATTGTGATACTATAAAGATTTATTAACTTTTAACGCTTAAACATAAGCGGTAACACTATAAATATTATTTCTTTCGTTGACTATACTTTGACAGATACATAACCTGAAAAGCCTTAAATGCCAAATTTTCAAAAGACTGCGTTCCGTACGTGGTCCCGTGGTGGGACTTTGAGGTGTGGAGCATAGTACTTGTCTGCCATTGAGGCATTTGGCATACCTTCATCGAAATGAAGTTTTGTCCTTAAAAGTTCCTTTACTTTAGAATCTGATATTATTTTTGGCATAGTTATCTTTTTATATCGATATTATCAATTACCAAGTAAATTATCAATAATAAATATTACTGACCATTTCCCTCGTCTTAATTTCCACCAATCACAAACGCGCACCCAGCTGACAGTATGACGTTCTTTTAACGTATTTATTTCGTCACCCATTACGTCGTATTGACCTGTTGGATGACGTCGAATCGATCAAAAAATTACGTGAAAATGTCACAGCCCATAGACGTCACCAAAGTGACGTAAAATGACGTCGTCTTATGACGTAGAATATATGTTTTATCGACGTAATTGTAACGTATAATTACGTTAATACGACGTCATTTTATCAACCTATTTATGACGTATGTATCGATTTTGGGACAGCACAAAAAACAAAAATATTGATAAAAAAAAATAAACAAAATAATGCACTTTCTGTGCAAAAGATACCTTAAATTTAAAACACTGATAAAACTACTTTCTCGATTTGCAATGAACAAGTGCTAAACCACCTTCATCGTCATCAGTTTTGCAGAATTCCATTCCTACGAAAGCCATATCTATGTAGACAAAAATTACAACTTCAGTAGGTATAGTTTTACCTAATAACATTATATAAATATATTATATAAATTTAATTTATAACTTTAACAAATATAATTAACCAATATACATAAGTACTTGTTAAACTTATTATTTCATTACTTTTTCTAAATGCCCAATGGCGACCATGACGCCGGCACGAAACCGGCTGACAAATTTAACATTACCCCCATCGTTTAGTTGTTTACATTTTAACGCAAAAGATATAGGTATGGTATCGGGGAAATAATTATCTTTCCAGTATCGGTCGGAGTTCGCTTAAAACAGAATTCGCTGGCCACGCCTTCTGGTATTTATTGTCTATTCAATAGCGCTTTTGTTTCCCTTTAAAGAAATTTCGCCGGCCACGTGCGATCACGCCCCTTTTACTATTCGTCTTAAATATTTTCATTAATATTTTTTTTATAATATTTATAATTTGTTTTTACCATGGCATATGTATTTTCCATAGTTTATATTATGAGATTAAAAAAAGGGTTTAATTTGGTATTTTTTTTACGATTTTAAATAAATTATGAAAATTGCCTAATAATTAGTTTTATTTTCGGAGGGCGAAAAAAAAATAGCGGCTCATTGTCGTGGTCATAATAATAGTAATAATATCAACGATAATAACAATAATTGTTACTAATAATAAAACTTTATATAACCTTAATAAAATTTATTAAAAATAAATAATGACAAAATTAACTAATATTTTGTCATCTCGCCTTCTGCAGCTATTACCGCATCACACCGGGATCTCATTGACAATACCAAATTTTGACATATTTGGGTGCCTCTTAAAGAATCCCAAACTCGAATGCAGTGATGTTGCAGTGCATCCCTGGTTCTTTCATTTTCATTTTCCCAGATGTTTACCATTTTGGCCCATAGATTTTCTATGGGATTTAAGTCTGGGGACCTACTTGGCCATGGCATATTAATAATATCCTGGTTTTCGTCAAACCAGGATTGCACCACACGTGCCCGATGAATGGGGGCATTATCTTGAAAATAATTTATCAGTGGGACTTCCTCACGTGGATATATAATCCGCACTGAAGGTCGAAGACATGTCTCTAAGACATCCCGATAAATTTCTCCAGTTGTTCTTCCTGGAAGTACAACAAGTTCACCGGGACCATCAGCGCTCATCCACCCCCACATGTTTAAATGAATCCTACCAGATTCTTGTGTTTTTATCGTGTGGCTTGGATCGTATCGGGTGCCATTGCGTCTCCACAAGTGAACTTTTCCAATCTGCGACGATTTAAATGTTTTTTCGTCGGAAAATATTGAATGGGAAAAGTCGAAATCACGAAATTCCCTTGCAAAGCGCACACGTGCTGCTTTGTTCTCCTCAGTTAAAGCTATTTTTCTGGCAGGAATTCGATGGTGGATACCAGCTCTATGAAGGGTATTCCTTATGGTCCGCATTGAACAACCATACTCTTGAGCCATGGTTCTGGTGGATCTGAATGGAAACTCTTCAATTTCCTCCATAATATTGTCCAATGGTTCTCCTTGAATCATTCGAGGGCGCCCAGCTCCTGGATTATGATTGATGTTTCCATCGTTGTTATATCTATTTATCCATAATCTCACAGTTGGCCTCTATAATTAAATTTTAATATTAAAATATAGAAATAAAGTAAACAATATAATAAACCAAGTCAAAAATAAAATAAATAATATAATAAACTGTAAAAAACTTACCCCGATATGCATATTTTCTGCAATTTGAGTAATAGAAAAGCCCCGGCTCTTAAGCACAAGAATTTCGGTTTTTTGTTGCGTTGATAATTTCGGCATATTAAAGGTTTTTACAAAACTCGTTAATACTATGATATAATAATCTTGGTGTTATAATTTATATATTTGGACGTTCTGGGATTAGCAAAACAAAATATACCTATACCTACCTTTAAATGAGGAAAATTATAAAATAAAACTTAATCCCCTTGTAAAAACCCAGATTTATTTTAATAATACATAAACATACTATACCTCAACGAATCTAACTGAATTATCTACCTACCTTTAAAGTAGGAAAATTATAAAATAAAACCCAGATTTATTTTAATAATACATAAAAATCCTGGGAAAATAGTAAAAATCATATTAGAATTATATAATTTTATTCATAAATAGTAGATATAAATAAATAGTAAAAGGGGCGTGAACACACGTGGCCGCCGAAATTTCTTTAAAGCGAAACAAAAGGGAAACAAAAGCGCTATTGAGACAATAAATACCCGAAGGCGTGGCCTGCGAAATCTGTTTTAAGCGAAATCGAACCGGTACTGGAAAGATAATTATTTCCCCGATAGTAAGTATCAACGAAATAACAAAATTTTGCTTACCTAACTGATAACTGATAATTATTATTAAGCAAAAGCATCCACTTGTTGCACGGCTTTAACACACGCAAACAGAACATACAAACTTTGTCATAAAAGCGCGGCATTCGGTCACACCCGTACGAGCACGGTGGCTCCGAATTTTGACGAGCGTTTGGCGCGAAATTTAAATATTTAACGGCAAATACATTTTATTATTTA